TTTCAAAAAAGCCAGCTAAATGTTCTAGTGTACTTTTTCTATCCCTCCCCCACCACCACCACCACCACCTCAAACACACATAATTTTTTAAACCTACTGAAAGTAAAAAACAAATATAAAAATGTGAAATAAATGCCCCCCACAGCAAGGAGTGGTGGTGGCAGCTGAAGCTGTTGCTGTCCCTCAAAAATATCTCTCCCTGCAAACACTCTGTGATATTTGAAAATGTGTACCCCACACTATGTTCTCTCTTACTCTTGTATATATAACACACCAAACCAAAAAAAAGGACAAAAAGCAACAAATAAAAATGTATAAGTTTGTGATTGCTTTTACTCACTAGTACCACCCTTGGGTTTCCTAGGCATAAATAATAATTATTATACACAGCGCTGTCACCACCTTTAAACTGTAATCCATAAGACACCAATTATACATAATACAACACATATCAGGGAATTATCCCCAAAGAAAAGGCAAAACGTCATACTCTTCCTGTGCAAAGTATACCAAACATCAAAAGTTCACCAGTGCAATATTATTCTGTGTACATTCATCTGTGTGCTCCATGTAAAGACACTCTTGCTTTTTCTGCACTCCCGCACCCATCGGAGAGTATTGACCCTATGTTCTACATCATATGAGTCAAGCATGCTTTTGAATATCACCATCAACGGTTTGCAACCTTCCTGAACCTCTGCTGCTGTCCTCTGGTTCTACAAGAATAGGGAAGATACCTATTGCTTGGTAAAACACATTGGATGGAGCTTCTGATTATGTCATTTCCAGCCAGTGGAGCACACACTAAGGTGGAGCTTCCAGGGCTATGTGCATTTTTTTTTTATTTCTGACAAATGTGAGTGTAATGTCAATTTCCTTTATTAACTACATGTATGCTACACTATGGCAGCTCTCTTGCCCCCTATCTTTTGTTTGAACAAATTTAAGCTTCTATGACTAATGAATTCACCACTGTGGCTTGGAGAACCAGAGGACAGCAGCACAGCAGGAGGTTTTGTTATCCAAAGCCAAATACACCTGTCCCCTGACAGTGTGGACTGGTTCACTTTTATTAAAATGAACCAGTCTTGGATTACTGATGACTGCAAAAACACTGCTACTGATGCTACACGTTTAATTGTCATCTGCCTGCCCAAATAAAAATGATATACCGGTCATTACTAGCTCCTACCATCTCTCTTATTCCAGTGCTCTAGTCCTGTAAACACAAACTTTCCACAGCTGGAACTCAGCCATCAAATGTATAAGGATACATTCTGCATTGTTTTTCAAAGTTTGCGGTCAATCTCAGTGAGTCGGCATTGTAAAGGGGCCATAAAATGTTTCCACAGCTTGACATTGGCTTTCAAAATGTTAAAATTTGCTTCAGGGTAAATCCCACATTGTGTCTTAAAGTTTGTGGCCTATTTTAGTACCCAGGCAATGTAAAAGTGCCACACAATGTTTCTGCAATTAAACCTCAGTTGCTAAATTTATGTTTGCTGAAGGGAAAATCCTGCATTGCACACTGAAATGAAACACTCTTGGATTAAAGTGGTTGTAAAGGCTCGAGGTTTTTTACCTTCATACATTCTATGCATGAAGGTAAAAAACCTTCTCTGTGCAGCAGCTCCCCCAGCCCCCCTAATACTCACCTAAGCCCCCTCTCGATCCAGTGATGTGCACTGGAATCTTGGCAGTCCCTCTCCTCATTGGCTGAGACAGCAGCAGGAGCCAATGGCTCCCTCTGCTGCCAATCACAGCCAGTGAGCCAATGAGAATTGAGAGGGAGCAGGGAGAAGCTGTGGCTCCGTGTGTAAATGTGCATACGGAGCAGCGGGTGCCCCTATAGCAAGCTGCTTGCTGTGGGGGCACCCAATAGGAGGTAGGGGCCAGGAGCGCCAGCAGAGGACCCGAGAAGAGAAGGATCTGGGCTGCTTTGTGCAAAACCACTGCAGAGAGCAGGCAAGTATGATGTGTTTTTTTGTTTTTTGTATGTTTGTTTTTTTAAGCCTCTAATATCACTTTAAACCTGATTCTATTACTACAGACTAAAATTTAATTGTCACCTCCCCCCCAAAAAATACTTGCCACCATTACCAGCTCTTTCTACCACTTCTGGCTTATTCTGGTGCTCTGGCCCTGTAAAAGTGCCACACAACAATAGTACAGCTGGACTTTAGCGGACAATTGTCTAATGTTTCCTGCAGGGTAAAATCTGTATTGTGTCTATTCCAGTGCTACAGCACAATATAGATGCCACACACAATGTTTCTGCAGCTGAACCTTAACTGACAACTTTCCAGTATTTCTTGCAAGGGAAATCCCCTGCACATCAACATTTGCAGCCTATTCTTATGCTCTAGCACTCAACAACATTTGTGCCAATTGATTTGCAGATAATACACTCTAATGTTTATTTCAAGATATAACCTACCTTGTCTCTCTCTCTCTTATATTGTAGCCTAACCTAACTGCTGGGATCAACCCAGATCCAAAGCTTGTCCCTACTCTTCAGCAATATAGCTGTGGCAATGTAACCATGATCTCTTACTTTAATTTTAGCTTGAATTACTCTCTCTTGTTAAGTTGATGCTGACCACTCAGTCCCCCCCCCCCCCCTGCTCTGAGCAGAGAACAGTGACTGTTGGTCACCAGCTCCCTGCTCTGTTCCTCCAGTGCTCACTGGGACACTGACTGTGGAGGGGGCCGGAGAGGATGGATCAGGGTCTCAGTCAGGGGCAGACTGACAACTCATGGGACCCCCAGGCAATAGGAAATCATGAGGCCCCTTTGTCTTTGCCCACACTCAAACCACACCCAAAAAAGCCTATGAAAGGTACCAGGGGCATCTCATGGGGCCCCCTTACTGACCCTGGGCCCTCGGGCAGTGCCCAAGTTCCTAAATGGTCAGTCCGCCCCTGGTCTCAGTAGCATGCTGAGGGGCAGAGCCAGGTGCTAGTCCAGGCATCTGGGTGGCTCTCAACTGTAAAGTTGAGATCGTTCCCGAGCCTGGACTGGCTCAGTGATGTCAGCCCGCTGTCTCAGAAAAGTCTACAGAACTGCACCACAGTATTTTGAAGAAAAAACCTAAGCTAGAAAATAGCTGCTATCCGAATGATATGTGTATCAGCTAAAGATGTTTGTTTGAGAGGACAGCACTATTAAACATACAAAATAAATATGCTATGTGCAATCAATCCTATTACAAACTACAGTATAAGTGCAAAATTCTATATGTAAAGTGGACAGCACTACCACCGCTATACTTTAAAAATCTATACTCACACATTATAAACTATGTACAGTATATCTTCTATAAACAATATATAAAAAAGTGCAAAACTGCTAAATATGCAAAAATACAAATAATGTCAGTTATTGCAATCAAAAATACAAAAAAAGTGCTACATGCAATGTGAAAAATGCTAATAAGCAAATACATATCAAATATGTGCAGACATTCCTATATCCATAATATACAGTACAACTATTTCAACTCACGTGCAATATTCATAGAAATAATAAAATCACTGTAAAAAAAAGTTCATGCAAAGAAAGTCATTCAGCAAAGTTCATAAGTGTCCCATGTAATTTCAAACTCAAAATCTTATCTGCATTCTTCATAAATTCTTCTAGTGTTCACCAAAATAAAGTGCTTTCCACCCCCTTTAGTACTAAACAAACTCACCAGAGCCTGATGATGGTAATATTATAAATCAGCAGATAACGCATAAGACTCTGGGAGTAATGATGTACAGCTTCAAAACTCCCCACTCAGTAGGATTATTCCATATAAATCCATAGCTCACATGAAGGAGGAAGGAAGAGAAAAGGAAGCCTCCATAGTGTAAAACCATCTCAGAACTTTTTATTTATTAAAACCAATCGGTGTACTCACATTTATGTGTGTCTCCACTGACACAAGTATGCAGACATAATCAAAAAGCAGAGTCACAGCCAACTGAAACTCCAAGCCGCGAGTGCAAACACAGTGTGCGTGGTGACAACACATCCAAGTCCTGACCTACGCGTTTCGTCATCCAACGTTCTCCAGAGTGTTATGTGCTATCTGTTGGTTTATAGTCTTACCTGCATTGGTGAGTTTATTTAGTACTTATGGTGATAGAGAGTACTTTATTTTGGTGAACACCTGAATAATTTATGAAGAATGCACATAAGATTTTGTGTTTGATATTAAATTTTTTTTGTATTTGCTTATTAGCATTTTGCAAATAGCACTTTTGTGAGTGAGTATAGATTTTTGTAGTATAGCTGTGGTAGCACTGTCCACTTTATATATAGAATATTGCACTTATAGTTTAGCCCGCTATCGGCTGAAAATGTCACAGAAGTGCATAACAAACTTCTCTCCTGTGATCCATAGAAGAAGTTTAGCCAACTAAGCTTTGGCTATACTTCTCCTTTAAGCAAAAACTACATTAGTTTTTTTTGTGCAATATAATCATTAGGCAGTTTAGAAAAAAATGTCTTAACCTGTTCATTGAAACTCATTCCTTTCCAAAATGATAGGTCCTCTCTTGTTTTCTGTACATACTTGAATTATAAAAAATATTAAAAGTATTTCAAGGAACGTTCTGCTTTCTTTCACTCAAAATTGTCAAATTATCATGACATTGTGTTTCTCAGTGGCCTGCACAAAAAATAGTGCCTGCATATAATGTAGACAGACTGTTCTATTATTTCAGTCAATTTATTAAATAGTTCTATTGATAATGTTCACCAAACAATTACAGGAACAGCCACGCATAACAACACAAGATGTTTTGTCTTATATCACTTCTAGGTTTTGTATACATTAATATGATATTTCACATCAGACCTATAGATTTTAAGTTGAGCTGCCATCAGATATATTTAGTATCTTTTATCTTTTTAATATAGACATTTACTACCCTGTAGCCAGCACTCCCCTAACAATGATATCATCTGCTTTTATTTCCAGAAAAGACATATTGTATTTGTCTAGATACTATCTAGGGCAAACATCAACTTACTGGATTGACTCTGAAGACAGAAAGTGGAAGCACCACTCATCGGAACACAGTCACTATCAGGGGCGGACTGACAACTCATAGGGCCCCCAGGCAATAGGGGATCACGGGGCCCCTGTGTCCTTGCCCAAACTCAAAAAAGCTTATGAAAAAGATACCAGGGGCATCTCATGGGGCCCCCTACTGACCCCGGGCCCTCGGGCAATGCCCGAGTTTCCAAATGGTCAGTCCGCCCCTGGTCACTATACAAAGTGGAGATACAGCTTCAGTCTAAGCTCTTCCTGACTACACTCCTCTGACATGTTCCGCTCTGCCCATGAGGTTTAATTATTGAGATGACATATCATCTTGATGATTAGGCCTCATGGGTGGGGTGAAACATGTCAGAGGAGTGTAGTTAGGAGGACCTTAGACTGAAGCCATATCTCCACCTTTCTTTATAGTGACCAGGTTCTTTGATGCTGATAAAGAGCTGTTTTGCAATAAACAATTAATAGACAACTGCAGAGCATTATTTTGAACATCTCATGCTATCTAGATGCAGGAATCATTTTCATAGCTTTTAATAGCTTTTCCCATTTGTCAGAATCTGCATAGTCATGGTAATCCCCCTGAGTCCATAGTATCAAACTCAGCCTTTATGAAGGCCCTATTCCTTACAGAAGTGTGGAAGCATACATTTAAACCTTTCCTTATTCCATTGCAATATCACTACTTTCTAGTGATACCACCCTATTAGATTGTAAGCTCTTATGTGCAGGCCCCACTTAATCATCTTGTTTTTTTTTTATTTTATTGTAACTGTACAGTCTTCCTTTATATTGTAAAGTGTTGTGCAAACTCTTGGCACTAGATAAATCTGGTATGATGATAGTAATAAAATCTCCAGTTAACAAAACAGCTTCCTCTGCTGCTTATGGGTGACACCTACACTTTAAAAAACCCAGACAACAGATAAAATATGCCCTTGCCAGAGATCGTAACTGATCACCAAATTTATAGAATCATTTTCTTACGCTAAACGTAAGTCATTTTGCAGAAAATGTATGTTTATGTATGGACAGGCAAAAGAGATCCACTGTGCTCAACCCAGTCTCCGATACAGGCAAAGGTTTGAATAGTGAAAGCCAGAAAAAGTCGGCATACAGCAGGATCGAAATAAAAGTATGAAGGCTTTATTGCAACATAGGGTTAAAATCCAATGAAACAGACCCATGTACATGTTCCAGCCTTGCGGCCTTAATCATATGTTTATGCATAGGTCATAACATTTCTAAAAGTGACATAAATAGGATAACTGGCATTGTTTAATATAGCTTGGGTGTTCATGGCATTTCTGCTATTTTTTCCAATTTTTCTTTGCTCTGTGTAATTCATGTTTTTACACATGACCTGAAAACATATATATGACATCTAACACGAAACACACGTGTCAGCTTTGTATTTTGTACTGCCTTGCACTGATAGATTTGCTAGAATGCAGCTCAAAGTTTAGCCTGGTGCCCAAAGGGTTAATCATATAGGCAGTCAGGTTATTACACATTTCCATTTCAGAGTCAAATATAAAAAATTTCTATTATAGGGACAATTAATTACATCTTAAAATGGCAAATGTGCATCCTTGTCAGGTAGAGTGTACTCTGATGGCCTTTCCTCAAACACTGAATGTGGAGATTTGATCTCTTCTAATGGTCCTGAGAAAAGGGTAATTACGCTATGGTCAAAGCTAATTTGCTTTCTGCCAGATGAACTGTTGTATTTTATTGTACGCTGACATTTTAAAGTAATTACGGCACTGTTGACCTTAGACAATTCTAGTTGTATCACTGTCTACAGCTGCAGTGTTCTACCTTTGGCTGCCAGACAGAGCCTGTAACGAGGTAATGACACGGACAAAGAGCACCATATGGGTCTCCTTTGAGGTACACAAAGCCCGGTGAAAGGAAACAAGAAAATTCATCTTAACATCATCATTACAGTCACACATCTATACGGCTATAAAGAATGCCATTTGAAAAAAAAAAAATTGAAAAAAAAAAAAAAAAAAAAAAAAAAAAAGCTTGGAATACTTTGTGTGCTTATATTTTTCTCCTATAAATGGCAGTATGCATCAAGAAGCCATAGAGGTCAGGTATTGCAGAATGTGATGGACGAGTCTTTTAGTCACTTGAGTTCAAAGGCTAAAGACTATTGATTGGGATAAAAGCCTTGGCTCTTATGTACTGTTAACAGCAATCCTTGTTGTCTGAAACCTGCACAAATAATTATGATAACAGAGGAGCTCTCCAGCATAGACAATATAGAGAGCAGCTTAATTTAGATATTTGGCCAGTTAAAAATATATTACAAGCTGGGATCACTTTCATTTGCCAGGAGGTAAGTGCTTGTTTTAAGACTCAAAGTTATATTTTTAGATACCAATGGTTAATATTGATTTTAAAGGTGGTAGACATCAAATATAATATTGGTACTTGTGTTGCAGTGGAGAGGTTAATGCTGGCAATTAATTTTTCTATTGCTTGGCTACAGTAAGAATAGAAATTACTACAATTATTTACACTGACACATATTGTAACAGGACAAACTAGAAACTCAAAAATGTCTTTTACTTTTATTACAAGATATTTTTTCTTCTGTTGACATTGTTTTTATGTTTATAGAGACATTCTGTACATAGGTGCTGCAATGTGTACTTTTTTAACCAACAAGCATCATACCTGCTGTATGGGTAAAATTCAGGTTACAGTGACCTGTGTTACAATTTGCAGGTACAATTGTCAGGTTGTAGATGTGAGGTTGCCCTAATTTTTACACCCGCTTTTTGTACCATTTTGTGAGAAGAACATAACTAAATATTCATTATTGAGGTTTTAATTTATATCCAAATTTTTGAAGAAAAGGTATGTGGATGAATTGCTCATAGTGGTAAGAATTATACCAAATATCTTGTTTGCTTGCAGTAGGTCCTCCAGGGCAGCACATAACTGCTCACACATCATTTTGCTGACTGTTCCCGTGTATAAAAAAATGAGTACAAAGGACATTACTTACAGTCAGAAGGATGCAGGGGCGGACTGACAACTCATGGGGCCCCTGGGCAATAGGGGATCATGGGGCCCCTGTGTCCTTGCCCAAACTCAAAAAAGCCTATGAAAAAGGTACCAGGGGCATCTCATGGGGCCCCTTACTGACCCCGGGCCCTCGGGCACTGCCCAAGTTTCCAAATGGTCAGTCCGCCCCTGGTAGGATGCATCCCTTGTGCTTCTTTCTCCATAGTGCTCGACTATGTCCACCTTTTCTGCCCAACTCCTCCATTCATAGAAGCCGTACTACAGCTTCTATGAATGAAACGTGATATATGAATGGAGGGTGGCAGACCTTTCAATCATCCACCGATCCTCTTTTCATAGATCATGTTTCATTCTTAGTAGTACAGCTTCTATGAATGGAGGAGCAGGACAGAAAGGACATGCATAGGGGAATGAAGAGGGTAAATCCAACTCTCAGTATATCTAGTTTGTTCTTGACAATGGTGATGTCATGTCTTGGGAAAACATAACATATTAGAAGAGTAGGAATTTTATTATTTTAAATATAGCTTACCTGATAAGAAATATGTCATAAAAAAAAACTAGAGCATTTATGTTAACCTCCCTGGCGGTATGATTATTTCAGATTTTTGGTGCTGAAAGCGGTACCATTTTTTTGCATGGAAATATGTATTTTTTTTATTGTAGGCTGTAATTTTTAGGAAAAACTCACTGAAATCTGTCCGAACAAGAGTCTAGTAAACATCCCGGGTATGATAAAATTTGAAACACAAAATCATAAATTATAATTTAATAAATAATCATAAAAATAATATAAAAATAATAAAAAATTTAATTCAATAATATAATCAAACCAAAAACACTGAAATGTGAAATAGAGCGCCAAGTTCGCACATCGCTGAGCTCAGTCGCAAAATCGTTTTCAGTTTCTGATGACGAATTTCCCCCATGAATCATTATCACTCAATTCTGAAAGTGGTTCTAATTTACTATCGCTGTTCTCTAGCTGGTCTAAACCGCTTTTGACCTAAAGGGACACTTTTTGGACGCCATGGACATTTCTCAGTTTCCAGGCAGAAAGAACAGACAAAATGCAGGCAGGGCGCAGGACAAAGCACTAGGGACAATATGTATGTGAAATAGGTTGAAACAGCAATGTTTTACTGTGTAAAATGTAAAAAAAAAAAAATGACATTTTTTAAAATTTTTAAATTTCCCGCCGGCGGCGGCGCCCGTACGTCCCGACGTCACAGGGACAGGACACAGAAGCCGGATGCCGGCATCGGCCGGAGGAGATGGCCGGGGACGCTGCAGGGGACACATCGTGGGAGCGCAGGGTAAGGTAAGTGAAGAACACTTGCCGGAGCAGTGCCGCAGGGTAAGCCCGAGTGTAGCTCGGGGTTACCGCTTTTGGTACTGAAATGTTACCCCGAGCTACACTCGGGAATACCGTCAGGGAGGTTAAAGGATAAGTTCACCTTTAGAAACATGTTACACGCTCCGCCTGTTTTTATCGGGAACATTTGACATGTTCCCAATGCTGCAGCCAGTGGTGTATTTAGGTTTTGTGCTGCCCTAGGCAGCACAAAAATCGGACCCCCCCCGGCAAAGAGCGAGAGCCTCACACCAACCAACACCAGACCCCCCCCCCCTCGTGGAGAGAGCATGACAGTGACCAACAACATCCCTGCCCTATCCACCCCACCCCAGAAAGCCTTCCACTAACACCCCCCCCCCACGGCGACAGAGAGAAAGACGCTCACTTTCACAGCTCTGGACATCCCTGGGAATGACAGTTGGGCTCTGCATGCACCATCAAGCAACCCGCAGCCTCTCTCGGATCCTACCTGGTCCCCATGCCGCATATGACTCTTCTTCCAGGGGGCAGTGCTGTCCCCCTAAAAAATGCTGCCCTAGGCAAATGCCTTGTTTGCCTTTTGGTAAATACGCCCCTAGCTGCAGCCCCTGCCCAATCGCTGCACTCCCTGTGACAGCAGTACAGGGAAAAATTCCCCGTACAAGCTGTCACTATTTAAAAACAGCACAACCATGTGGGTCTCCACCCACACGGCCACATCATTAATTCACAGAGTTCTGTGAATGAATGAACTACAAATACCGACAGCCTTTGCGGATGTCGGCTTGAAGTTCTCAATGAACTACCACAGCACTGTGGAGCACCAAGGTAGTTTATGAGTCTTCCTATCAGTGTATCTGCTTGCAAGCAGATATACTGACAGGTCTGTGGGAAACCAGCATGACACCAGCATTCTGCTGATTGCTGGTGCAATGCTTTACAGGCCTCTGCAACAAAAAATAATAAATGCACATTATTTACCAGCAAAAAAATGTGCATTTATTATTTTTTGTCAAAAGGTGAAGTTATCATTTAACTAGATTGTTTGGTAACATTTATTATTGGAAGAGATTCTAACCCTCCCTAACTGTATAAAACGCTAACATAAAAAGGGTTGGCTAGAGTCCTACTTTAAGGATTCCATAATTATTATTATTACTGTATAATAATAATAATAATAATTATGGAATCCTTAAAGTAGGACTCTAGCCAACCCTTTTTATGTTAGCGTTTTATACAGTTAGGGAGGGTTAGAATCTCTTCCAATTTTTCTGTTGCCTAATACTCTGAAAAATTTCCCATCAATTTCTGACTGAGAGACATGCCAGATAATGAAACGTAATTTCCTCAAATTAAAAATAAATTTAACTTTTGAAATGTTTCTACTGGAATTAATTTAAATGCTCATACCACCATCAACAATGCAACTAAAGATGAGAATGCTTCCCCTCTTAACCCTCCTTCCCCACCCCTATTCCTCCCTCCCTTTTTTGTTCTTTCCCCTTTCACTTTTCTTCACATTGGAACCTACACCCTCTCTTTTTTTCTCCCTCTCCTTTACTTACTCCATTTTCTTTATCTTACCCACTAGGTTTGGGGTATAGCCCCATCAAAAATAATTTGGAAAAACTTGAAGGGTTTCACCAAAAGCCTTTTCTACCTGTCTATGTAGGTTCTGATTGATTAAACATTAACTATGTGTGGTTGATACTTTGTATTTTCTTATTGTAGTCTATTTTATATTTTGAAAGTCTACGACCTGTACATGCACTGTTGACAGTCATTTGCTATATTGGCAACATTTTCTTGATAAATAAAAAATGCAAAAAAAATAAGAAATCTAACTTTTGATTGTTGACTGGAACAGATGCACCCATTGGAAATGATCATCTCTTCTCTTGGTCTGGTGAAAAACATTTTGGATTTTTCCAGGACAGAAAGTGAAGGTGAAAGTGGATTTCTTTAGCAGAGACCCTGACAGCTAAATATTCTATGACTTTGGATATTCCTATAAACTGTCACACCCTTAGCAGCAGTTAACATATTGTTTACATTTAGTGGCAGGAATGGAAGATGTTATTGTAGCATCACGATCAGATATGTCTGGATATTATGGGATATGTCGGCAGATATTTTCTATGGGTGATCAGCTGGCATTGTTCTTTATGACTAATGAGGATATGCATAACTGGATGATGTAACTAAGCAATGAATTACATTGTGTGACATCTTGTGTTTTTTTAAATTTTTTAAAAAAGCACTTGTCAAACCGTGTTTTTTATTTAACGTTTTCACTCTTTTGTGAATGAGTAGGAGTACAATGTATGTATTACTCAGAACTTAGGGGGTGGTATCTGGGTACCTCCTTTTCTTAAAGGGCATTTCAGATTCCAATAAGTCTCCACTCACAGACCCCCACAACCTCAGCAACATGAGGACAAGGTGCTTTGCCAGGGTGGTCTTACCCAGAAAGGTGCCTCCCCATATTGAGGGCATGTGGCCTGGTATAGGTTAAGGTGCCGCTTCACAGGCATGGTAAAGGCATCCTAGAGACATGTTATTTATACAAGTTTTGTATTGTTAGTATTCCCCGTTAAGCATTACAAAAATCACTTTTCCCAGCCAAATGAAATTTGAAAAAAATGTTTTTGTTTTGATACATGCTTTCCAAGCCTCCTATGCAAATGTTTTGACTATCCCTTGTCTAGTAGCCTAGAAAATGGCCCAAACTATTTTTTAACATTTGTTCCCATTGACTTCAATGGGGCTTGGATTTGGCAACTGAACTTTAGACATATTTGCTGAACACTGCTCAAATCAAAGCCAGCTGTGTTCAGCTCATTACTAATACTCAGTTTCTAGCCCCCAGATTTCTCTACCCCAGTCTTTGTATAAGTGTAAGTACCGTCTAGATCCCAAGGCCCTACCAAACACCATGCTGGAGTCATATGCGATGTTACTCCATAAGCCTGGTAAAGATCTCTCGGAATGTTCCTCCTACTGGCCAACTACCCTTTTAAATGTGGATGTTAAGATTTTGACTAAGGTCTTGGCCACTAGTATCTCCACTGTTATATAATCTTTAATGAATATACTGACTTATATGTATTCCCCAAATAAATTCCAATAACACCAACCTGCATAGACTTTTTTCTCATCTTCAGATGGATCATCCATATTCAGGCACGAGAACTGTGGTATTGTTAGATATAGTAAAAGCCTTCAGTTAGGTAGATTGGGGGTACATGGGAAAAATGTTACAGCAGATGCGTTTTAAGCCTACTTTCTATGCTGGATTGCTATTATATGTAGAAGTCCTGGAGCTGCTCTCATAATTGGTACAAATCTATGGCCCTTGTTGCCCTGTTTATTAGCCCTTATGATGGAGCCTCTTGTTATCATACTCTGTTCCTCAGATGCTGTTAGAGGCCTGAAGATAGGGGGTATTAAGGAGCACCTGGTGTTGTAAGCAAATGAAGCAAATGTCTTCATTCTTTTTTACCAGGACCCAAGTTTTTCTCTGCAGACAGTCCTCCAGAGCTTAGGCAAATTTACCTTATACTCAGGCTTGAAGATGAACTGGGACAAACTGAATATTCTTCCTCTAGATTCCAGGATGATTGCTGATCTTAATCTCCCTTTCTGCTGGGTCTTGTAGACACAATATCTGGGAATAAACTTCAGCCAAGGCGTCAGATTTAATACATCAAAACTTCACTCTGTTGATTACCACCCTTAAATGCAAAATAGTAGCCTGGAAACATCTACTAATATCCTTGATTGTCAGAGGTAAAATGTTTCCATTGTTTCTATATTTGCTGAGGAAAGATCCTGTGTGGG